AATTTATCAAGTGGTGAAATTCTCCTTAAAATACAAATTATAGAATCTGGCCACAAACTGTGTGCAGTATTAAATTCCACACAGTATTAACAACAAATAGCAATATGAATCAAATTTATCACGTGGTGAAATTCTCCTTAAAATACAAAGTTAAGAACTTAGCCTCATACTGTTTGGAGTATCAAAATTTCTACAAATTTATGGAACTTCTTCATGCACTGTTCAAACTGAACTGCCAAGAAATACAAAAAGTAAAAGAATTCAGTATGAGCATCTAAAATGGAAGTGGTACTCCACTTTGAATTTAAAGGAAAAAATTGGAACCATACACACCAGCAGAATTTAACTGCTATATCTATATCCTCAATAAGAAAGTATTTTATCACATGTATTAAACTGAAGATGGCTACTATACATACTCCAGGGCAAAGCCTTGTACTATACAATGCTTTGCCCTGGAGCATTGTACTATACACTCTTAAGAGCATACCAGAAAGGATTTAACAACTGTCTAACACTGTACACCTAATATGCTGTCCTAAACTTTAAGTAAATAATATAATTAATAAAAATAATTCTATTAGTGTTTTCTTCCTCAGTTTAATTTTGTAAAATTCGTTAAAAAAAGTCTTTAAAAATACCATTAATGCAAAATAATTCTGTTGCTTTCAAGTATTCATAATTGTGCAACCTGGTGGTAATATCTTAATTACAGGATTGATTAAATGTGTTTGTTGCTAGCCTAACAGCTAAGTATAAAAAGTTAAATACAGTTAGTAGTCAATAAGATTTACTATAATATATATAGAAAGATGAATGCTAATAATTTTGAAGCTAATGTTTTAAAGTTAAAACACAATGTGTTAAACATTTAGCAGGAAAATAATAATATCTTTATTACTGATTAGTATTTTGAGTGATTATTGTTATACTTATGTGTAAACATGTAATCAATGAGCAAAAAGACATAAAATATAATAGATGTTCCGAATTATATTCCGCACTGAACTACTTCAGATGATAATCATTAAATCAAGGATCAGGTCTGTCCTTGTTGGAAAAATACAACAATTCCAAATACAGTTTTGTTTATTTTGGTAATATCTGATCATAGTGTAGGCCATAAATCAGGTCTGATATGGCCTGTACGCCATCAATTTGGGACAAATACATTTTCAGAATAAGTTACTTACCCTCCTAGAGCTGTAGGTACACCTATTCATAAAGATAAGGGAGTCTTTTTATTGTTGTTTAAGTTAGAACTAGCTTTTCTCTTAATTAAGAATAGACTATGTACGATGGCTAATCATTAATGTCTCTACAGTGACTATTTAATGTTTAATCTTTAAATGTTATATCTAATAGTATTTACATTGTCCTTTAACATCAAGAAATTTTATTTCTAATTCAACAATTAAACTACTTTGCTAAAGCATCTTACTTTACAGAAAGTTTCTGTTGGGTTTTGATTTCATAAATCAAGTAAATTGTTTGTTTTTGGCTATATAGTTGTAATGAATTGTTTATATAAATAACAGTATATGTGCATGAAAAACCTTTGTTTGAAAACATTTTGCTGCACACTTTGGAATAATTTAAAACACAAAAACATAAATAAAATACACTAGGCTGCAGCACTGAAATAAACAATACAATTAAAGGTACAAAAAAGTTTAATTTTTGCAATTAAAGAAAATCTGTTAATTACTGGCTCCTCGTATCTGCTTATGTCAGTGTGCTACCAGGAAATATCACACATTTTACTAAAACTTTTAATTTTTTTTTTCCCTAAAACAGAGAAAATATCTAAGCTTTCACAAGTTGCTGATTATGAAAAATAATAACGATACTGATGTTGAAAGTCTTAAAACTTCACAATACAACATCTTTGCAAACAGATGAAAGTCACTCACTTTCTGACACATTTTTAACACGTCTCCATTCAATAAACCCTTGGTATTTGGAGTACTTGGAAGGATATTACAGATGTAGTCACAGTAGGGTAATATTTCAGACAAATCTGTCACAAGTCTAGAAGAACAAAACTTTATGGTATCATAATCAAGAAAATTGAGTAAGAAAGTATTTTAACTTCAAAGAGAATTTTTAGACCAGTCTTGATTAACTCTAAAAATATTAATGAGATCCATATGAACTCCATCAGTCTTTAAACAGATATTTGCATCAAATTGCTGGTGAGTCCATGATCTTGTTGGATACAAGGTCCATTATAACACTTATGCCACATGAAAAATATAGATGCAAATACCATTAATATTGCAATTTATCCCACAAATTATACCTGGGGTCACTTATGTATTTTATATAGAAAATGGGTGATTTTTACCACTTTTTTGTGGTCAGGTCTTTACACCAAGTGTTGATACATGCAAAATCAGAAAATCACTCAATTTGATGCAATATGTGGATTCATATACAGTTTAATAAA